CTCCACCGAGCAGTGATGGCAATGAAGAATCTGATATCGAAGAAGGTAAAGTTAATAGCGAATTAATACTTATGAATCATGTGTGAGCAGTTTGAAGGTCCTGCCTATTTTGAATATTTTCCAAGCACTGTTTTCCGCTTGTCCGACTTCCATAGAAGCGTGTTTGATAATTGAAAGTAGTTGCAAATGGCAATGTCCATATTGTGAATTTCCCATTTCTTTTTTTTTCGGACAGGAGTGCAAGTGTCAGTGTATGCGTGCTCCATGCAAATTGCATATAGGTGATTCTTGCTGTTTTCACTTTCCCATCTTCACATCTCGTTGAAGCTTCCTCAGAAACCCTAGCCGAAACTGATGTGACAGTTTTTGTTGATGAGGAATTTGACAAATCAATGAAGCAGGACAGCGATGATGATGGAGTTCAGGAAATCATCCTAACAACCTTGGAGGACATTGGGTTCATGGAGGAGAATATCGTTTTTGATGAAGTCCGCCCGTTCAAGCGGAGAACTTACTCTGTTGCAAAGAAGAAAAGTGAGTAACGCCCCGCTCACTCCAGTCAAGGCGTGCAAGTTGAGAAGTTCAGTTTACCCAGGCTATGTCTGTGTAGTTAAAGGCAATCACAATCATTTTAGGGATGCTGATTTCATGTCACAGCATTTTGTTGACTTTTAAAAATATCGATGTTTTTTAGAGACGATATTTGTTCATATCTCCCCCTCCCCCCCCCCCCCCCTCCTAATACGAACATACATACATTTATGCAGTGGACCGATATTTTTTATATTGAACGGTTTGTGTGTACAGGTAGGTACATAATACGTGCTGCAGTACTAGTAGTAGTACAAGTCACAAGGTTCAAGTGCCTGCATGACAGTGCATGCTGCATGGTGCACGAGCCGCGACAAGCAAGTACAAGGTGCATACCTAAAAATAGCGTATGTGAAGATCGATATTTTTTCCACCGAAATCAACGAACAGCGTCAAAACCCCCTCCCCCCTCCATATGAACGAATATCGTCTCTAAAAAACATCAATATTTACGGACGGCCCCTTAGTTCCTTTTTGACAACTTTTAACAATCACTGAGTACTTTACGGAGTCGATTGAAATATGTAGGAGAACAATTCCACTGCCCTCTTTTGAATGTCATCAAATGACGTTTGTCACTGTATGCATTGGTTTCTGATTGATTTGATCGTCAGTTTTTTGCCTGCGGATTATTCTTATGATGTGCAAAACGACCCGTTGTTTGGCTTGTTTGCGCTTGTTGTTTCGCTTGTTTGCTCTTGTTGTTACCTCCAGTTCTCATCCGCATTGTCATCGACATTGCAATTGTTAAGGTCGAAGGCAGAGAGTCAATACGCAACGCCATCATCAACAGACTGAAGCGGTTGACGCAGTCCAGGGGCAAGGTTGTGGTGGCCTTCTCCAGGAACTACAAGAGTATTGAAGTGTTCCTGCTGGTTCCCGGACGCTGTGCAATTGCTCTTCACTACACGGCAATTGTGTTCCCTGGCATTCTGGCGGGCCTGGGTGTCCTCGAGTGGAATCTGGTCGGCAGTCTGGACTTCTTCGACTTGCGTGTCCGTCCGGAGGTGCCTTCGCTTGACAATACAGGTAGGGTGGGCTTTGCCTTATCACTCACTTTTGGTGAATTTATGTTATCACTCCACTTTGCTTTCTGTCTAGTCTGTAAAATGGTGGTCAAAGCACACCAAACATCAAACTCTTCATCTAGCTGCAAGGGTTCTGTCACATTCACAAGTTTGAAACGGTCTGCAAAACGGTCTACATACTCACCGAAGTGAACTTTTGAGGGTCCATAGGTCGAATTTGACCTATATTTGACAAGTCTTAGCAAAGCGCTGATTTCAGATGGCAAACCCGGTCGTGCTCGGCTCAAACTTTGCAGCCAGGTTGCTGAGATAGTCATCGTGACGTACGTGTCAAAAAAGCGTGGGTCGCGCATATAAAGACTGCCGTGAGGAACGCTGGAAGTTTGACTGTAGCTGTGTTCACTGCATGCTGCTGCCACTGGAAACACGACAAGCGCAGGTTTATCACCACTTGGCCAAGTAACTTCGCGTTGTCAAGAAGCAGTGACGTCAGACTTCGACGGCCTATACAGAAACATGTGGCCGATAATCGTATTAAAAAAAGGAAACTTTAGCTCATCAACACAAATAGATACAGAACTCAAAATTCTACCTCCACGACAATTACATTCTACCAAGCTAGTGGTTAATAACTGGATATATTACGCTATGGTGCTATCTTAATTTTTCATATTGTTTTCAATACAAAACATGTGATTTGAACCCGCAATAACGCTTAGCATGCATTCCCCCGATACACTTCGCATACATACACACTTCCAAGTTGCTTCATGTTATGATGCTGCCGTTGAAAGCCCTGTTTGAATATAGTGGCCGGCTGTCTTTGATGGTACAGTACCGGACATGTACAGGATAGCGCCAGGCATGCCCGTCGCCAGAAACAAACAAACACACACACACACACACGCACGTACGCACACACACACACACACACACACACACACACACACACACACACACACACACACACACACACACACACAGATACGAAATAAAGCGGTGTGGACCCTAGCTAGCGCCATACGCTACTGAAGTAGCTAATTTTGCATAGCTTCCGGAATCATGCTGATTACAGATTTCTGTCCCTTCCCATTGACCAATTCCACTCATGTCTTCACCGATCAGCTCCTCTCGGGACCCCCAACTGATGAGGAGAGATGAGGCCGGGTGATTTTGGCTTGCTGGTGCATGGTTGAATGTGAACAATACCACTCGCTCCTGCACATATGTCCTCTTTGATTTATTCTTGTTTTATTGTCACAGGGATACAGCCTGTCCGTCGGCTGTTCTCTGAATTGTTTTCGAAAGGGCTTACTGATACGGAGCTTCCGAATTTAGATCTTGCTCAACCCCTGCTCAAGTCCTTGGTAGAGAAACACGAGCATGACAATGAATTCATCGACTTTCTGGGAAAGTTCATCTTGAACGGTGAGTGCTTGGTGCCATTTTCCAGATGTTCGCCAGGTGCTGATCATGATGCGTATACCAATACAGTCATCTTCGCTAATAACGACTGTGGATATAACGACAATTCGCGAATAACGACATAATTTCCATGCCCAGAGCAAAGTCCCATCCAACTGTGACACGTATAATGAGACTTCGGGTATAACGACACTTCGCGAATAAGGACACTTTTCTGATGCCCCGCCGAGTGTCGTTATAAGTAGGGCTCAAACGATTAGTCCGATTAACCGGTTGCAGACCGGTTACGAAGAATTAACGGATAACCGATAAAGATAACGGTTACGCAGTAACTTTTCAGTCAATTTTTCAAGTATCAGGTCGTTGCAAAGTATGCACTTTCGCAGGCTGTCGCACGCGTAAGCAATTTCTGGGCTGTCAACTCGGTCATATCTGGTCTCTTGGTGTGAGAGTATGTATGAATGAGCATACAAGAGAATGTACATGTGTGCATTGTACTGAATAGGGTACATTTTTTGAATGAGTATAGTCAAATATACGGTTAAAAAGGAGTCCGCCGGATTGCCGTGTCTTATAGGTTATACCCGTTAAATCGACCGTTAGCTTAGCGGTTAACCGTCAGGGGTAAAACCGTGACCGTTTGAGCCCTAGTTATAAGCCAAGTTGACTGTACCCTATTTTGGAAGAAGTGCGCACAACAGCTGAACTAGCTAACAAACACACACACACACACACACACACACACACCTGCACACACACACACACACACACATACGTATGCACACACGCACGCACACACACACACACCTTGTCTCCTAGCAACAAAAACCCAAAATGTGGGCCAAACATACCGATACTATAGTATCGGTACGTTTATGGTAGACAGGTAAAGGATTTAAAAGGGGAAATCCGGTGAAAATCTAAATTTCAGTGTCCATAGAGTTTAGGGTGTTAGTCCTACATGTCTCCGACAAAGCATACTTGAGATATTTCCGTTTGAAAAATCGAGTTTCGGGTGCGGCACCATGACATCATGCGGCCCTGACAGTCGACACCCCCCCCCCCCCCCCCCCTCTGCAACGTCATAGAGTGGAGCTAAGTCAAAAGGAGTGCGTGAAAGCAATAGTGGCCATGCTATTTCAAATGATTTGGCGACCGATAGTAGGCGGTGCAAGCGACCCCGACGACGTAACTCCATGTGAGAGTGAGGATGCAGCCATGGCTGACCTTCATGAGTTCTGTCTGGGGCTGAGAATTTCGGTATTCTGCAGAATAAATGGTCGCGCGGGCCGGTCAAGAGTGAGCACTGCTGCGTTTGCGACTGATGAAGCAGCAGCTATTGCAGATGGGGCTGATATAATTATCAGATCTCTGGAGAGCAGAGTCACGGTTGTAGACTCATCGTTGTAGCATTGATGAGGCTGGACTATTCCATGCGGAACACATCAAGATTTGTCGAGCTGAAAATTACAGGGAATGTAGTGTTCGTAACGCCGAGTCGACTGGTCTTGGTCCGAAGAAGCTGCGACAAACGGGTCCCCAATCGAACGCGTTGCGAACCTTTTGTACACATATAGGTGGTGCGGCTTTCTTGCCGAGTACCTCAATGGCTGTCTCCACCATGACCCTGTTGAACCTGACAGTATGGTACAAGGCATTCACAATTTCTTGAAATGTGGCCTTCTGCTGCACTGCTCCCGCAGCTGAGGTCGGCATCTTCGTCAGAGTTTGAAGCAGACGCAGTCCCAATAGCACTTGACAAAAGGCGGAAGAAGACTCGTTCAATTCAGGATATTTCGTTTTCTTTTTCAAGCGATCCAAGTCTCCAGGTAGCAGGTGATGGTGGCTACCTAGCAACTTGAAGTACGCAGTTACGTCTTTCTTTTCTCACCATGAAGATAGTTGTATGGGTTAGGGAAGATATTGGTATCAAGGAAATGATGAAAACACTAGCGCAAGGGCAGGGTTCCCTGCTTCGAGTCCTGGCGATGCCAGTGAGCTCTCTGAAGCTTTGTATTATGACGTTGTCACGATTGTTGTGGTTTTCTTTCTTCGTTCTTTGTATTCATTTTGTCATATGACCAGAATTGCTCTCCAGTGTTGATATAGAGCAACCGGAACCCGTCAAGGTCACAGCAGTCAGAGCAGACCCACCTGTACCCATGCCAACTAAGGAAGAAACAACAGCAGCAGCTGCATCAGCAGGATTGGCAGTGGATCCATCCAGCCCGACTGCAACAAGTCCATTGCCACTTGGACAGCAATTAGCACCACTGTCTCCACCAATGAAAAGCAGAACTGCAGGAGCAAGAAGAGGGCCTGGAGGAGGAGAAGCAGCAGGACCAGCAGCACCAGTAGCAGCAGCAGCACTTCATACTTATTCAGGTGAGTTTTGCCTAGTTGACAATCGAAGGGGTGCCTCGTGATGAGTTAGGTTGGCTATAGCAATAGCTGCTGCATGTCATACTGTACGGATAGTAAGACCGTCTACAGGTCACCCCAGCCACCCATACAGGTTCCTTCGTCCCGTTTCATCAGCTTTGTGGTGAATGAGAAATAGACTTGAATTACTTCCAAATTGGTATGCACTGAGGTGTCATGACACCAGCCATTCATCATGGCAGCATTCTTAATCAATGGAATTTGATGTATGAGTGTTTGCACGCTCATACAGATGCATGCACCCTGAAATCACATATTCCGTTTGTGGATGCGGTTTCTCCTCTTCTTGTCCCGCCCTTCTTTCCGGTCGCTTTTATATTCAACCTCCTCCTCATATCCACTGGCGTGGAGCGCCTCATTGTAGAGAGGGGCGGCCAGATTAAACCATCAGCGCAACATCACGTGGTTTAACCCTCCGTTCAGCAAAAACGTACACACTAAGGTGATGGGAAAATTCCTATGTCTCATTGATAAACACTTCCCGAAAGGCTCACCACTGAACAAAGTAATCAACAGGAACACAGTAAAGGTCAGTTATAGCTGAATGCAAAACGTCCGAAGCATTATCAATGCCAACAACAAACACATTCTCACAGCAACTACAAATCAGCGGCAACACCCTGCCAAGACTGTAGCTGTCGTAGCGCCACACAGTGCCCCCTTCATGGTGATTGCCTGTAGAGATCAATAGTGTACAAAGCGACAGTAAATGACGACAGTTTGCTTTGTTTGAATTATTTCTTGAGCATGCAGATAGTAGAACACCTCTTCTAGCACTGAGGACATGTCCGCCATCATCCTTTTAGGGTTTTTTGAAATAAACAATCTTGAATTTTTCCACTTGACCATGCTGAAATACGTCCAAACTCATACCTGCGCAGGAAAGCTCGCCCCTCCGCGATGTCTAGTCAGCAATTTCTACTCCAACACCACTTCCAACGCTGCAGAACAAAGTGTATTGTTGACTCTGACAAGGAAAAGCAGCGGTGAACACTTGTCACTCCAAACAACAAGCTTCTCCTTGCACCACCAACATTTTTCAGTGCAACATTTGATGCAAAAGTGACTGGATTTTTGCATGTAGTTTTTGAACTGCATTGAGTCAACTAATCATGAGCCACAGCTTTATGCCTCACGATGAGTTAGGTTGGCTATTGCAATAGCTGCTGCATGTCATACTGTACGAATGGCAAGACTGTCTCAGGGCTGCCACTTGCTTCGATTTTCGGAAATCGTCCGATTTTTGATCACCTGTCGGACAAACCGACCGATTTTGTTCCCAAAGAGGGACAACCGATTATTTTATTTTGAGCACTTTTTAGTTCAGTTGGCCATTTGGCGCTTCCAGGTCGCGTTTGGCCAGTCATTTCACATGACATTGTACATGTACATGTAGCTGTAAAATGCACGCGTGCTTGCATGTGTGTGGACACGGTTAAAAATGTGTCCTGGGGCCCCAACAGCAAGCCATTTCCTAAATTTATCACCGCTGGACACCCCCGGACCCCCGTCAGATTTTATCAAGTTAGTTAATGTGATGGTAGTAGCTTTAGCCTCCATTTCCCAAAAGTTCAAAGGCCCAGTTGCCAGGACCATACAGCTGTGAAGTTGGCTATTTGCCATACTTTTAGCATATTTGTCCAGTGGCTGAATGGCACACCCTTGTAGCGGTAAAAGGGTTAAAATGATTCAGAGGAGTGAAGAGGAAGGTACGGAGGCAAAATCTGGCCGCCTTGCGCTGGATTCGCTCTAGGCGGCCAAGGGCTGGAATTGAGAGCGGGGTGACAGCAATGCATGCATATTCAATTATAGGCATGAACTGTGTTTTGTGAATGAGAGAGAGATAGAGTGATTTAGTGTGTAGAGTTGATTTGAGCCTAAAGAGAATATTAACCGGGTATGGCATCAGGGACTGATGGCTAAACTCAAACACTATGCTGTCCAGGAAGCAGCACTGCGATGGTTCTCGGCGTACTTGAAAGGGCGCAGGCAGCAAGTGCGAGTTTGAGACCACTACATTAGCCTTCCTCCCTATCCCAGCAGGAGTGCCTCAGGAGTCAGTCCCGGGACCACTGCTTTTTCTGGTATACACCACCAACCTGCCTGCCGCTTTCGATAAATGCCAGCACCAGGTGCAGCCAGTTTGCCGACAACGCAGCCCTCGTCTGTTCCAGCACACCGCGAACAGCAACTGAAGAGCAGTGTGTCAGCCGCCGTTGGATGATTGGAGCGCTGGCATCTCCTAATCAACACTGCTAAAATGGAACAGAACCCCCCCCCCCCCACTATCTCCCAAGCATAGAGCTAAACAATGCACATCTCAGAAATGTCCTGCAACATCGTCACCTCGACATCATCTTTCAGCATGACCAAAGATGGACAGCCGACCTTGACTTTGTGCTGAAGAAAGCTGAAAATCATTTAAAGGCTTTGCTCAGGTCAAAAAAGCAAGCTGTGACGTGCTTTCCCAAGTCACCTTGCTTTCTGTATTGCGGCCCAGGTAGTCTTGCCAATTGTATCCATTTATAAAAAGGAAAAAACCACATTTTTCGAGTTATGACTAATGGTTCACCAAAGTAACCAGATACTATAGAGTCAGACAGAGATAATAAGGCGATCAACTCCTAAAATTATGTTCATCCTTGCACCAACAAGTACAATTGACATGCTTCACAAATCATCACTATCTGTAAGGTGGAATTTACGTCTTGTGGAACTACTTAATGTAGTGCCTAACTTTTCCATCATTTTAGCATCAACCATTTCCCTGTTTGTAAAATATCTGGTTTCACTGCCGGACCATTAGTCGTAAATCGTAAAATTTTGTCCTTCCCTCTATCCAGGTTCCTTATAGTTTAAAAATATTCACTTTGCTTGTTTCTTTATCAGAAATGCCCAGCTCAAACATGGCCAGACTGGGTGCACTCACGCAAAGAAAGAAGAAGGAACTTGCAGCATCTCAAGACAGGCCGGAATTTTTGACAACGCCGGAACGAGTGAGTTAAGAATTGTTCTATTTTTTTACCTTGGCGCGGTTCCTCATTAGTTTACGGAAAGAGGCGGAAGTTGGTAAGAATAGAGGTGTGTTCAGGTACCAAACAGATACAGGAAATATAGAGCACTCATGCTCAAATTTTCTGGGTTTGTCCAAGGGACGATGGCACGAGTGGAAGCCAGCATAGGTCAAGTTTTCACGCAAAGTTCTAGATGTCAGGATGTGTTGGAAAAGAAAGGATCTTCTTACTGAAGTCATTTGTACGGTGTCACAAGGCAATAGTCTATGGCGGGACGCAGGCCTGGACGTAGTCTACTTGTGCGATAACAAACTGGTTGGCTTCAGACAAGTACAATCAGGAGGTTTCTCAGTGGGTATGTCGCATCCCTGTGAGGTTCGCTGCCCGTCATGATCTCTCACGGCCCAACCAAATCCAACCGCCAGGCGGGCGACCAATATAGTCGACGACCCAAACTTTGTGTTCAGCGCACCTTGATTTAAACTCAACAAGAGACGGGTACTAAGTAGGAGGTTCTGAGTAGCTCAGCATATCTATCAAGTCCGGGAGGAGGAGAGTTATAAGTATTGTTGTGAAAGACATCGTTCTTTTATGCAGGAAAAACAAGGGAGAGAGAGTTTCGTCCAAATAATGGCGTGATCATTATTCTTGGAAAAGCAACTGAAATACAGGTTTTACAAGCGGCAGGCATAGTAGAGAACAGCAAAAGATCAATAGTTCAATGACAGAAAAGACAAAGAAGAAGAAGCACAAACGGAGCAAAAGGCCGGATCGGGAAAAAAAGGCCAGATCTACGTATCCGCAGAAATCGTTAGTTACATGGATCACGTCGGGGAGCCCGCTCACCCGACGTGATAGAACAGCGTTACTCCGGCGGGATGTTGTGCCGTATATTGTGCCCTTTCCGGGAATTTCACCGGCGGGCCCTTCACGGGTCACCGCGGCGTCGCTGTACCGCGCTTGCCACGCCTTCCTTTTGCGCCTTCATTTTGCGCGCGGTTCCCCGCTTTTGCGCACGCCTCTCTTTTCTTTGCACCCAGCTCTCATTCTTCTGCACTCAGCTGTCGTTCTTTTTGCGCATGGCCCTTCGTGTCTTACACGAAGCGCGAAAGGGATCATGGAAAGCAATAGGACTTCTCAGTCGTATGATTTTGCACAAAGCCTTGAGATCATTTCCAGGAAGTAAAGAACTTCCTAGAACATTCCTAGAACATTCCACGCGAGAACCTACCTGACCAGGTTCCGGCGGTGAATCACACGATGTGTCATGTCCAAGAGACATGACACCGACGTGGGATATCACGCCTAAGAAGCATGACACCTACGTGGAACAGCGCGTGCCGCTCAACCTACATGCTCAACACGTGGGACAAGACACTGGCCAAACCACGTGATAGTATAGATCGCGACAGCTCCAACGCAGAGCTGCGCACTACATAGATCCTGCTGTCACAGGACCTGTCAGACTGCGAGCGTCGCGTCCAGGACGTGACATTTCCCCGCCATTAAAGAATCACGTCCCCGTGATTGTACTCAACCAACATGATAGTCAGCGAGATACTGCGGCGGCTGCCTGTTTCGGACAGGTCGTCCCCCAGGCGCCGCGACGGGTGCATCGGGCAAGTCAACTGGAGCTGCCGGAAGCACGTCCAGTCCACCATAGGTTTCGGCACGAATACCGCCGTCATCGGCCGAATACAACACATCGGTAGCATCAGGCTCATACGACCCAGAGCCGGCAGAATCATCTACCGTCGTTAGTGGCTGTATATTGGTTGAGTCCGTGACATCCTCTCCTACTGCTGGAAGCAGATGGTCAGGCTTCACACGGCATCTCTTCAACCGGTTTACATGCACAATCTGCAGCTTAGCTGCGCCGGCGGTGTCCCGGATACGGTACACGACCTGAGAGAGCCTATTCACAATTGTAAAAGGGCCTTTCCACAATTTAGCTAGCTTACGGGCAGTGCCTGCAGGTACTGCTGGAACCAAAAGCCAGACTAAATCGCCAATTTCAAAAGAAACTGGTTTTGCACTTGCATCATACAAATGAGCTTGGTGCTGGTGTTCAGCACGGAGCCTATCACGCACCGTAGCATGTGCCTCAGCCAAACGCTCACGCAAACTCTTTGCGTGTGCTGGCTCAATAACCCCCTCAGTACGAGGTAGGCCGTACGCGACGTCCTGTGGCAAATACAGTTCGCGCCCAAACAGGAGATACGCTGGTGTGTACCCGGTACTGGATTGCTCAGTGGCACGGTATGCCATTAGCACTGCCGGCAACTGCACATCCCAGTTCCTCTGATTTTGGTCAACGTAATGCGAGAGCAGACGCTCGAGCGTTTGGTTGAATCGTTCAACAAGCCTATCCCCTGCAGGGTGGTACGCAGTAGTACGTGTCTTCTTGATGCCAAGAAGAGTGCGCACATCTTTGAACAACTTTGAATCAAAGTTGCGACCCTGATCAGTGTGCAAGCTTTCGGGTGCCCCAAAACGGGACACAAACTCACCCACGAATACAGAGGCAATACTCAGGGCATCCATTGTTGGTGATGGATACGCCTCAACCCACTTAGTAAAGTAGTTCATGACCACTAGGATATGCTTATTGCCACTTGCTGTTTCCAGAAGCCCTGGAATCAAATCCATGGCGATCCGTTCAAACGGGTAACCATTCCAGGTGACCTGCAAGGGTGCTCCATGTCCACGACCGACTGGTCTAGACCTTCTAGAGCATGACTCACAAGTACCCATCCAATCCACAACATCACGTTTCATTTGGTGCCAGTAGAATTTTGTCCGAAGCTGAGTCAGTGTTCGTTGCATTCCCACATGACCCAAGTAGTCATGGTATTCTTCCAAAAGTTTGGGGCGTATTGCTACGGGCACCACAATTTGAAATGTTGTGGATTCCAAATTGTTTGGATGCCCACTCCATGTCCGACCAACCACACCCTCCCATAAAACAAGACATTGGCGTCCTCGCCAATACTTACGGAGGTCAGGGCTCACACCCCTCAGACCAGGGTCGGCAGGACATGCTGTCAGCCACTCACGCAGACGCGCGAGGTCAGGGTCGGCTTGCTGGGCCGCAGCCCAATCGGCAAGTGACCAGTTTCGTCGTTGGACGAACAGAGTTGGAAGCTGCGATACTGAAACGGCAGCAACAGCCACAGGCTGCAACGTCTGTCGGGATAGCCCATCGGCATTGGCGTGCGCACGACCCTGGCGATACTGCACATCAAAGTCAAACTGACCCAAAAATTCCATCCAACGAGCGATAATCGCCGGTGGCTCTTTGCAAGTCTGTAAAAGCTGTAACGCTTTGTGTGCAGACCAGAAAATGTTTCCCCAGCAAATAGCAGTGAACATGTTTGAATGCCCACACTACCTCGAGCAACTCGCTTTTGGTAGAGGCATACCGGCGTTCTGCGGCAGAGGTCACCCTGCTCGCGTACGCGATTGGCCGTTCAGTTTCGTTTTCGTCAAGTTGTGACAAAACAGCGCCCAATCCAGTACCACTTGCATCCACGTCCACAATGAACGGTGGTGCATCATGACCATACCTGGGGTAAGCCAAGATAGGTGTACGAGTGAAATGTTCTTTCAGAGCCACAAAAGTGGATCTACACTGGTCGGACCAGACAAAAGAAATGTCTTGCCGGGTCAAATCAGTCAAGGGTCGTGCCACGGTTGAGAAGTCACGAATGAACCTTCTATAATAGCCACAAAACCCGAGAAATGCACGCACTTCTCCAACATTCGCCGGCCTGCCCCACGCCACAATCCGTTGGATTTTGGCGGGATCAGTGCCGACGCCTTCATGAGACACGACGGGCCCCAAGAATTCCACCTGTCGCCGCAGGAGAAAGCATTTCGAGGGTTTGAGACATAGGTTTGCCTCCAACAGACGTTGAAAGACAGCCTCTAACCGTTCGAGGTGTTCGGCAAATGTTCGGCTGAACACGATGATATCATCGAGGTAAACCAGGCAGATCTGCCACTGATAGTCCTTCAACACAATGCTCATGAGCCGTTGGAAAGAACTAGGGCCATTGCAAACTCCAAACGGCATAACCGTGAACTGGTAATGGCCGTCGGGAGTCGAGAAAGCCGTTTTCTCCTTGTCACCATCCGCCATTGGCAGCTGATGATAGCCTGAACACAAATCAAGGGTCGAGAAATACGTAGACCCATTGAGAGCGTCGAGGTATCATCGATGCGTGAAAGAGGATATGGATCCCGTTCCGTAACCGCGTTCAACTAAACCACACAGAACCAAGTCGACCCATCTTTCTTCTGGACAAGGACAATCAGTGAAGACCAAGGACTGCATGAATCTTCAACCACAGCCTGAGCCTTCATGCCCTCAACCAACTGACGGGCGGACTCTCGTGAAGCCCACGGCAAGCGCCGTGCGGCTTTAAAAATTGGACCTCGTCCATTAGTCTTGATCCGATGGTGGAGCACCGAAGGACACCCCAGCTCGGCCGAGCTCATAGAGAATACCTTCCGATAGCGAGCAACGAGGGACCTCAGTCACAACAACTCATCCTCCCTAGATGAGTCTTGCCTACCAGGCTCCTCGACACAGGGTGTCCCCTGGTCAGCCAACACTGTGTTCGTGGGGTCCAGATCCAAATCATCCTCTCCCACCACAGCCTTTCCACGTCTAGGACCTCGTCCTATATGAAGTGCAGACCATACTTCTTCGGCCCCAGGAATCACATCCTCCTGGCCTGGATGGTCACCACCGTCCCCTCCTTCTTCGTTGCTCACGCACTAGTGGCACCAACAGCATATTTGGCGGTCAGAGCATAGACCAAATAGCACTTTAAAAGATAGCGCTAGTGGCGCTAACTACACAGTGAGACAATGAATATTACCAGTATCAGACAACAGTGGGGACCATGGTACTACAATGAATATTACCAGTATCAGACAACAGTGGGGACCATGGTACTACAATGAATATTACCAGT